TCCAAAAAATGTAACCTTAAGGGAGAATATCTTTATGAATACATTGGACTAATTGTTTTGTGAGTCATTATGTTTTTCTTCTTAAAATTTACTGTACTTCTAAGAGATTCTCATTAAAACAAAAAAGAGTGGTATTACTCCCAGTACTTGTCTTAAACATTAATAAATACATTTTATTGTAATGGGTTAATTTATCTCCCCATACTAGGTTCTTTTTTCCATTTCCTCTTTCTCTGCAAAGTACTTTGTGGCCAAGAGTTACAAGACAGCTTGTTTTTCAGTATTTTGTGTGGTAGTAAGTGCACTGGTTAGCATCATTTGAGGACTTTTCTGTTTATCGCAAATTCACGTGAAGGCTACTTTTCAACACTGTCTTACTTGATCTACAGAAATGGTGATTGTGATTCTTGTCAAGTTGTATTTATCTTTCTACTTTTGAAGTTAAAATAGGAACTATAATTGCTCGTTTAACTTTTAATATACCTATGTATTGGTGGCATATAAGTGTAAGTCACTTATAAGAAAAATGTACACCATTACTTCAGGCCTGAGGCACAAAAGGTACATTGGCTTTTAGAGTAGGACCTGAGGTGTAGGGGAAGAAGAACTGACACCAGTCTTGAACTTTTTGAAAAATGGACACTGCATACTGAATCAGCATTTGATTATGGGGAAGTAGTGAGAGGAGAAGAGGAAGATGGAAGCTATCGAGTAGAATTTGTAGTTATTTATGTAGATGGTTAGAGGTAAAAGGTAGTAAAAACGACCTCCTTCAAATATTGAGTTAAAGAAAAACCTGTACTACTTACTACTACTGGAACTTAAGAAAGAAAAGTTTTTCTTCAGGGCATTTATAAAAAATTGAACAGTTGTGTTCCCTTGTGGATCTTTGGCGAAATGTTAGAACATATTGTATGAATTGCAGTAACTGCTGACAGAATTTTGAAAAGTGTTGCTGACCTTGTAATAAGCCCAAATACCCATCATGCCTCATTGTTCTAAGTTTATGTGTTTACACAGATTCTGCTGATTAAATTTTGCCCTATACACTGTAGACACTGAACCCTAAGCAAGGCCTTAAAATGTTATTGAGCAGAATTTCGATTCAGATCAGTTATAAAATGCTCTTGACTCATGGGCTTTTATAGATTCTTTATTTCCTTTTAAGAAGTATGCTGCTTATGTTGCACATCTCTGTTGGTTTTAAGAAATGTAAGCTGGCTTTTTTGGGAGATGCATCCTTGAGTAGGAAAGTGTCTTAAATTGATTTTCGGTCACTATTTCAGTCAGCACTTTGAAATGCTCTTAGCTACCTGTGCCATTACATCCTTGTGGTCAATAACTTTCCCTTTTTTGTGGCTTGCTTCACAAATTGAAGAAGCTTTTTGTCCATTATTATTTTGCTGTGTATATTTTATCTCTGATCCAGCATAGTGCTGGATACCTGGTACATTCTCAGTGGAAAATTATTTGAAGAGTCAAAGATGCCGACACGGCCCAGTCATCCCCAGACTCCCTTCCTGTCTTCACTTCAGACTTGGCTTACAATCAACACTCAGAGAGATTCCTTAAGACCACCCTCTCTAAAATAGCAACCCTACATGACTCTTCTCATAGCCTGCTTTGTTTTTCTTCAAAGTGCTTTTCTCCCACGACCTGATGCTCTCCCATGGGAATGTAAATGCCATAAAACCAGCAATTTTGTTTTGTTCACTGCTGTATCCATCCCTAGTGCCTAGCACATAGTAGGCTCTCAGATGTTTTCTGAAGGTATTAATAAAGGTTAGAAATTGTGCTAGATGCCTAAAAGGATATAAATATACATCAGAAATGGATTCAGCCCTCGTAGACAGATAACTATAGTACAAGATGGGTTCAGATGGCAGAAGAGAACTGTGGTGAAAGTGCTGGGGGTATTTTAGAGGTTTATTACTTCTAGCTGGCTTCTTAAATGACATTTAAGCTGGGTCTTATTTCAAACTAGGGAAACATAAGCTCAGAGGTGAGAAAGTGAGTAAGGGTAATATGTATAAGAAAAGGTGAAGTATTCAGTTTGACTAGAATATACTACTAATGAAGAACTGAAAAATTAGTTAGAAAGATCGGTTAGATCCAGGTCAGTGGAAGGTCTTAAAATCAAAGCTAAGTTTGGATTTCATCCCACTGGCACCGTGGAAATTGTTTTCTCCCTCCTTAAAAGGCAGTTATGTGTTATGATTGGACTTGCATAGGAAGAGACTTGAAGACTGATTTGAATTGTGGAGTAGATAAGTGAAGGTAGCAAGGAGTGTATATTAGAATAATCATATAATTCAGAGGTAGGATTGATAATGAATGGTCAGCAAATTGACAAATCAGACATGGAGAATAAGGGAAATGGAAGAAGCCAAGATGACTCAAGGTTTTGAACTTGTGGGAAGTAAGATGGTGTTGTCATTAAATACAGAAATAGAGAACATGAAGAAAGAGCAGATTTGAGAAGGAAGATTAGTTTAATTTTGAACATCTTGCTTTGAGGTGCTAGCATTTGGATGGAGAAATGTGGTAGGCAGTTGGAAAGCTACCAAGGCCTAAGTGGTTTTTGTTGTTGTTGTTGTTTTGAGGAAGATTGGCTGTGAGCTAACATCTGTTGCCAATCTTCCTCCTTTTTTCCTTTTTTCTCCCCAAAGCCCCAGTAGATAGTTGTATGTCATAGTTGTGTGTCCTTCTAGTTGCTCTTTGTGGGACGCCACCTCAGCATGGCTTGATGAGCGGTACGTAGGTCTGCACCCAGGATCCGAACTGGTGAACCCTGGGCCGCCGAAGTGGAGTGCACGAACTTAACCACTATGCCACCAGGCTGGCCCCCGCAAAGTAGTTTTTGAAGCCTTGAGAATGCAAAGGAAGAGCCAAGAGAGTGCATGGAGAAAGAAAGGAAAATAGCAGAGAGCAAATTCTTGGGAAGTAGCTCTATTAAGAGAATAGGAAGAAAAGCCAAAGGAAAAACAAAAGCAAGTAGGAGAACCAAGAGAGGACAACACTGGAGAAACCAAGGACAGATATTTTTAGGAAGAAGTAAGATTCAAACCTGTTTCTTCCAGAAAGAGCTCTGTTGTAACCTTGGGAGTATGATACATGTGTTTTCTATCATGTCATACATTATTCTGCTATGCTGTTTAGCGTAGTTCTTTACCCAGAGTAGGTTCTGAACAATTTAGCATGTCTTAAGGGAATCATGGATTGTCACCTGCCTGTCTTTAAGGATTAGCGTTTGGCAGAATGTTACACAAATATTGAGGTTTAGTCTACTGTGCAGTCTGGTGTCCTGCTGAAAAGTTGACACTCAAGTCATTGGAAATAATTTGTGCTTTGCAAATTTTCTACCAAGTTACCTGTTTCAGAATCCCTCTATGATATATTTTTGATCTTTTCTGTTTTTGTTTCCTCTTTGATAAAATAGTAAAACTCCTAACCAGCGATAATTGAAGGATTTCAAAGTACAAGGATGAAAACACTTAGTGGAAGGAGTTGAGGGATGGGATAAGTGCTTGTATTTTTATTTTACACTTGAGCTATTTAGCATATGAATTATTTTTGACTGTCTTCAAGGAATATTAATTTTATCACTTTTGTAGGTGCTTTCAGAAAACAAGTAGGAAACTAGAAAGAGAATAACTTGCTACAAATACGAGAAGACAAATATCAAAACACTGAAGCCTATTTGTTGAAAAGCTGATTAGAAAGATTTCAGCAGTATTTTGCAGAAGAGTTAGGACTGGAGAGACTTGGTTAATTTGGTGCAGCAGTTTATCAAGGAAAGACAAAGATGGGACTGATGGTGATGCTCCAGTATAGCATAATAAAAGAAAAATCTGTCTCTAATAAAGAGAATTTTTAGGCAGTCAAATTTGATTATGAATTGACTTGAAATTTTATAGTTCACTTGTATGACAAGAATAATAAATGCTAATTTTTGAGGCAAGGGAAAATAAGCAAGTGTAATCAGTAGCTGGTTTGGTGTATAACCGTATCTAAGGCATCTTGTTCTGAGTGACAATACCATTAAGGATAACACAGATAATCTGATTAAAGTACACATGTAAAAGCAGAGCCATCATCTGTTGTGTTAAATTGGTACTGTGTGGCATCTTTATAATCACGTCATTAAACAGAGGTTATTAGAAAAAGGTTAACTAATTGTTAAAACATAATAGTAGCATATACACTTATGTAGAAATTTTTGCATGGTTTGGATGTTAGCATTTCATTTTTGGGAGAGGAAGAGGAGTTGTTTTGGTAAAACTTACCTCTTTAAGGTCTGATTTAGTAGAAATATTTGTTAGGTCTGGATATTTAAATAGTCCTTTTTGTTGAGAATTTTAATTTATTTTCAATTTGGATGAGGTATAGGGTGATTTTTTAAAAATCCGGAATAGCTCATGCAAAGCAGAAAACAATATATTTTGCTTTTCTAACATTTCCTTTCTTTTGTGAGTGGTTATAGCAATATACAAGTTCTTATACTTGTTTGTTGAATCCTCTTATCTGTCATCCTAAAAAAAGTAAATTTGTTCATATTAGTTTATGCCTCAAGTTATTAGGCCTGATTAATTTAGGATTAAAAGTCTTGAAAGATATTACTGTTAATTTTTTTTCTTATTTACTATGCAACATCTATTTGAATGGAGAAAATAGGAGTGGACCTAGTGAATGCAAGTCTTTCTTCCATTATATTTACATCTTTTATATGTTACAGCAAAAACAGTTGCTGAAGCCCCTTTTGAACAAAGATAACAGGATCACAGAGTATTTAATATTATCAACAGCACATTCCTTCCTCTCTTTCCCTAGTTTTATATATCTTTGAATAATATTGGCCATAAAGTATATTTGAAGAGGTTCTTAGTAAATATATTTTAATGTTCATATTAATTATACACCTGGTATGGTGAATTCAGTGCATTTAAAATAAAAATAATTTTATGTGTTTATTGAATTATTGAACTTCTGATCATTTGTAGGCGAAACCTAACCAAACTGTCCCTGATCTTCAGCCACATGCTGGCAGAACTAAAAGGAATATTTCCAAGTGGACTCTTTCAAGGAGACACATTTCGAATTACTAAAGCAGATGCTGCAGAATTTTGGAGGAAAGCTTTTGGGGAAAAGTAAGTCTCAAAATAATGAATTTGAACTATGAAGAACTAAAGCTTGTGTTGTGGGTTTTTGTTAAGTTTTTTATTAATGAAGTATTTAAAACGTGGGAAAACATAGAGAAAAATAATGAATATGTGTATACCTACTTCCTGGCTTTGGTAAATATTAACGGTTTTTGCTCTGATCATCTTTTTTTTTTTTAAAGAAACAAACCATTGCAGATTGAGTTGAAACCCATACTGTTTGATTGAATACTCTCCTCTTTCTCTCCCTATCCACTATGCTGTTAATGGACATTTACATTTCAGATTATTTGCTGTTGCTAACAGGGCTGCAGTGAAGAAAATTGTACAGTCATGTGTCACTTAACAACGAGGACATGTTCTGAGAAATGCATCCTTGGACTTTTTTGTTGTTGTGCGAACATCATAGAGTGTACTTACACAAACCTAGGTGGTATAGCCTACTACGCACCTAGGCTATATGGTACTAATCTTATGGGACCAGTGTCGTATATGTGGTCTGCTGTTATGTGGCGCATCACTGTATTTGTCTTCATATGCAATCTCCGTAGTTACATACCTAGGAGTAGAATTGCTAAGTCAAGGAATTTCACATCTTCTTTGCCAAATATTACCTAATTGCTTTCCAAAGTGGTTGTACCACTAACACCGGTAGTATGAATTGGTATCATGTTTTGCTTTATATTCCTGAAGACAAAGGCAATTAAGCATCTTTTCACATTTATGACCAGTCAAAATTCTTATTTTCACTTGCCTGTTCCTATTCTTGACTTGTCCATTTTCCTATTGAATTGTCTTTTTCCTATTGTAAGATACTAATTCTTTGTTAGTTACTTACATTACAAATATCTTCTAGTCTATGGCTTTTCTTTCCACTTTGTTATATGGTCTTTTGATATATAGAAGTTTTAAATTATACAGACAGATTTATGAGTCAAACTTATGTTTTTAAGGATTAATATAAATGTTCTTTTATATCCTCTGAAATTTGGGTCAAAAAACAAAAAACAGAAACCAATAAAATTTTTCAGTTGGATATACAACTCCTAACATAAGTCTCTTTAAAAGCCTTCTTTATTAAAAAAATCATATTTTATATAAAATATAGAATAATTAGCAATTTTAAAAACTTAAAGAAGATAGAAATAAGTTTAACTTAATAACTACGTTAAAAAAGAGTTCAAAACACCACTTCATCTCTTATTTTCAGGAAAGTGAATACATAAACTTTTCAAAGGCAATGAGATTTATTTTAAAGATCTTGAGAAATAGAAATCCCACATATCTGGGTTTTAATCACTCACTCTTACATTAAATAATTTCTTCCTCATCTGTATCAGAACTCTGCTCTTCCTGTACCTTAAGCCTATTTCTTCCAGTCTAGTCCGTGATAGTGTGGGTTCCTCAAAGAAGACAGAGTATTTTACATGCTTTTGAAAAGTTAGTTTAAACACAGGCTTTCAGTTACTAAAGGTCTGGCCACAGATTACATTTATTATATAAAAAGAATAATCTCATCTTTCTTTCCATGCTTCTCTAATAGAACCAATGTCTGAAGAAAGATGAGACAAGGGATTAATTTGTGACATTCTGCCAAAGGATAGTGGAAAAAGACTTTCTATTATTAATTTACTCATTAGAAAGTTAAGAAATATATCATTTATTCTCTTTCTAGTCTGAATCCAAAATATAGCTCAGCTTCTTTAAGAAAATTGAAATTGATATTGAGAGCTTAATGTGGCTGTCTCTTCCTTGATTATAGCAATGCCAGGAATTGTCTGTTATCTCACTCTGCCTTCTCTCTCACCCCCACCCCCACCCCAGGACAATAGTCCCTTGGAAGAGCTTCCGACAGGCCCTTCATGAAGTACATCCCATCAGTTCTGGGCTGGAGGCCATGGCTCTGAAATCCACTATTGATCTAACCTGCAATGATTATATTTCAGTTTTTGAATTCGATATCTTTACACGACTCTTTCAGGTAGGATACTAAAAAGTTGGCCAAACTAGTTATTGCTACTTTTCTGAAGAGAAAGCTTTTAAAAAAATGACATTTGGGATTTTGCCTATTATATATTTATTGTAGGAAAAAAAGATTAAAAAACTCTGTATTTCTTTTTTTTTTTTTGGTAAAAATAATAACTATACAATTTGCTTTCTTTCCCTCACATTTATAATCTTTTTTTATTAAATATTCTTTGCATCATTTTAATGGTTGTAGAATGTCCAAAAAATGGGTATATTTAATCAATTCTCTGTTATTGGACATTTATGTATGTTTCTAACTTTTTCTCCTGATTGTATTGAAGTTTTTGACTGTTAATATTGAGATATATTGATGCTTCAAAAAGAACATTTTTTTCCCTAAAGTATATGCCACCTTGCATAAACCTTTGTTTGGAACTTCTTAGTTGCACATGTAGGCCCTGCTCTGTCTCTCTGTTTTTGTTTGTTTATTGTTGTTTAACCTCACTACTATTGGTTAGAGCTGCTTAAAAATTTCTTGAATTTCATTTTGTAAAGTTAAGTTTCTCCCTATAAGTATATATTCGTTTCTTCTTAGCTTTTCAAAATTCTTATCTCCAAACATGTTTGTCTTCCTTCAAAGTGACAATATAATTGAAAAATTGTGACAGTAAATGGAGAATTTGTAATTGATAATTGAAGTTGTTTTTCCTTTTGTTCTTCATTGCTCTGAGGCTGGTTGTATGTCTTGAGCTGAACTGTCTGATCGATCTCCTGTTTCCTTAGCCCTGGTCCTCTTTGCTCAGGAACTGGAACAGTCTTGCTGTAACTCATCCTGGTTACATGGCTTTCCTGACATATGATGAAGTGAAAGCTCGGCTCCAGAAATTCATTCACAAACCTGGGAGGTCAGTGCCATGAAGCAAAGAGGTTTATTCTCCTGAATTTTGCTAGAATAGAGAAAACATGATATTGTATTAGTTCCCCAGTGGCCACGTTTCTGCAGTAGTATTGATGTCTATTTATCAGAGGAATTGACTTTTTTCAGATCCTATGATTTGAGAAATGCTTTCAAGTTACTTAAGAATTGGGCTTATGTGTCTTTTGCGTTTTGGTCTGGAGTCATTGAAGAATCTGTTATTGATGGTCCTTTTGATTTTTGTCTCTGTCTTGCCTTTCACTCTAATAGGAGCATATGTATTAAAGATTCTGTTTATCTCTGTTCTCAGTTACATTTTCCGGCTGAGCTGTACTCGTCTGGGTCAGTGGGCTATTGGGTACGTTACTGCTGATGGGAACATTCTCCAGACAATCCCTCACAATAAACCTCTCTTCCAAGCACTGATTGATGGCTTCAGGGAAGGCTTGTGAGTACCTACTGTTTACCATCTACTAGAGTCTGGGAATTTAGGGGCAGTAAAACTTCATCATTGTTGACTTTATTCCAGGTTCCTTCTACAGATTAAGATTCAGGAAACATATTAAGAGGTTACATTGTTTTGACCTTCAGGTTCTGTATGACTTTTGTTTTGATTTAAAAGGGATTCCTTGAGTGAAATTATTTTTCTCTACTCCTTCAGTTATTACCATGAGTAAACTTTATCTTTCTCCTTTTCTAAATGTGAACTTATTTTCAAGCCTATATTTAGATTTAAAAATATACTAATTAGCAGAAAACGTTACCAGCTATTTAATTAGCTAACATTAGAGTGATTCGGTGTTTCTAATGACAGCATGCTCAGTGGCCTTCATCTGCCTTCATCCAAACTTCATTTTGGTTCAGCAGCATTTCTTCAGGCTTTGGGCGTTTGTAATCTGTGCTAATATTTATGGCTAAATTCTTATTTATTCCAGAATTGCTATTCCTTTGGGAATTCAAATTGATTATCAGTTGGTAAGCACTAAAAATACTAACAGTTGATCAGGTATCAGAAAACTATTTATGTTTTAAAGTGATTAGTGAAATCCATTTTCCATTATGCATTGTCTTCTCCAATGGCGTTGGAGCTGAGAGGGGTGCTTCCCCAAACGTCAGAGCAGTTTGATGCTTAGAAGCTTCCTGGTAGGTGATCTCAGTGGCTTAATTTGCTTCTTGTTACATTTCTTTTAAGTTGGTGTTTCTCAATATTAAATCTGTAAACCAGGTATTTCAGGTCTTTGGTCAAAAGCAAATGCAGTTTAAATTAAGAATTTATACTTTGTGGCCATTCATAGATTAAAATAGGGGTTGGCAAACTATAGCCCACAGGCTAGCTGTTTTGGTACGGCCTGTGTCTAAGATAACTTTTTTGTTTTAGAGTGTTGTTAAAAGAAACCAAATAGTGGCTGGCGGCCTAGTGGTTAAGTTCGCGTGCTCCACTTCTGCAGCCTGGGGTTTATGGGTTCCAATCCTGGCTGTGGACCTATATATACGGCTCATCAAACTATGCTATGGCGGCGTCCCATATACAAAGTAGAGGAACATTAGCACAGATGTTAGCTCAGGGACAATCTTCTTCAAGCAAAAAGAGGAAGATTGGCAACAGATGTTAGCTCAGGGCCAATCTTTCTCACCAAAAAAAAAGAATGTGACATAGACTTGTATGGCTTGCAAAACCTAAAATATTTACTATCTGGCCCTTTACAGAAACAGTCAATCCTTCGATTAAAAGATAGAGTCTGTGGCGTTGTGCCCTGGAGAAAGAATATCAGTGTTTGGAGAATATCTTCTTTGAATTGTTCTGTGTTATTTAATTATTTTGAAGTATTAGTAAGATTTATCTTTGCATTGATGCAAAGTTGCCCTTTTAGAATGAGAGAATTCCTAGATATCATTTATCTGTGTTAGCAAGCAGTGATAAATTGGCTTCAGTAAAACCCCAAGGTTGGTTTCTCTTTTTACAGCTATTTGTTTCCTGATGGACGGAATCAGAATCCTGACCTGACAGGCTTATGTGAACCAACTCCCCAGGACCACATCAAAGTGACCCAGGTGAGTTTTGTTTTACATTATAACCACGTCACTAGAGCCAAGCTTTTATATACACTGTATAGAACTGACAGTAGAATTGTGTTAAGTGGTTGGAACACTTAAATTTTAAATCACTGATTAGGTTAGTGAATTTATGTGTGTGTGTTTTCTCTTTAAACCATGCAGCTTAAAATAGGACTAGGTGCTTTTTGTTTTAATGAGAGAAATTGACCACTGTTATGACACTTTTATACAAGCAAAATTTATATAGAAAGTCACAGTCTTCAATTTTCCTGTTTTTAGTTAGCATTTATAGTTGTTGTCATTCATTCAACAGATATCTGCAATAGGCTGAGTAATCTCTTAATTTTATTTTAATTAAAGGAACAATATGAATTATACTGTGAGATGGGCTCCACATTCCAACTGTGTAAAATATGTGCTGAAAATGATAAGGATGTAAAGATCGAGCCCTGTGGACACCTCATGTGCACATCCTGTCTTACGTCGTGGCAGGTATGGATCCAAACCATACATTTTCTCAGCTATGTAATCGCTCTGAAGAACTGGGGATCACATATCCTATACAGATATAATGGATAGCCTGGTTTATGGTGTGGGTTTTAAACTTTTGATTTCTTTCTTCATCTCTAGGAAATGTATTTCCTAGTCGAGAAATATTTTAAGTACTTTCAGATGTGTCTGTTACCATCTCCTGTTTCCTCTGCAGGAATCAGAAGGCCAGGGCTGTCCTTTCTGCCGATGTGAAATTAAAGGTACTGAGCCCATTGTGGTAGATCCGTTTGATCCTAGAGGAAGTGGCAGCCTATTGAGGCAAGGAGCAGAGGGAGCTCCCTCCCCAAATTATGATGATGATGACGATGAACGAGCTGATGATTCTCTCTTCATGATGAAGGAATTGGCTGGTGCCAAGGTAAGACTGAAGTTTAAGAGACTGTGGCAAAATCCATTATGAGTTGTGTTCTAAAGCAGTAGAACACTTAAGGACATCCAAACTACAAGGAGTAATAATAATAGCTAATATTTACTGAGCATTTACTGTGTGAGAGATACCGTGGTGAGCACATTACATATTGTAACTCATATAGTCCTATACTCATATATCCCTATGAGTAGGTACTGTGCTTGTCCTCACTTAGCAGATGAAGAAACTGAGGCACAGCGAGGTTAAGGAATTTGCTGAAGATCACACAGCTAGTAAGTTGAACCAGAATCTGTGACCAGGTATTCCGGCTTCAAGGCCCATGCTCTTACTGTGTATATCCTAGAATTGGGCTTTACTCGGATAACTTGGTAGAGAAAATGAGGGAGGAATAAAAGAATTGGACCTTATTTTGCTACTGTGACTGGAATATGTTGTTCTTGTTTTTTTTTTTTTTCTAATGGAGTCTCAGCATTAGAAAGTTAGGTTTCGGACCAGCCTGGTGTCATAGTGGTTAAGTGTGCTCTACTTTGGTGGCCTGGGGTTCACAGGTTTGGATCCCGGGTGCGGACCTACTCACTGCTCATCAAGCCATGCTGTGGCAGCATTCCACATACAAAATAGAGGAAGGTGGGCACAGATGTTAGCTCAGGGCTAATCTTCCTCACCAAAAAAAAAAGGTTTCAGGGGAAGAAATGAGGCACGTTAATAACCAAATAAATGGCAACTAAAGTGGTTGGAGGGTGGTAGGAGGTACCATGTAGAACTGAACAAACTGGAAAGGCCCTAGTAAAGATAGGAAAGATAAAGGCTAAGAAAGGGTGTCATCAAATTCTGTTATATCAATGGATAGGGTAAACCAGGGATTTATTCACTAGTTAGAAGTAAGGCAGTCTTTGAAGATTTTAGTAAATACAGGGCAAACAAAGGATTCTAAAATGCTGCAGCGGGCCGGCCCCGTGGCTTGGTGGTTGAGTGAGCGCGCTCCACTGCTGGCGACCCGAGTTCGGATCCCGGGCTCCCACCGGCGCGCTGCTTCTCCGGCCATGCTGAGGCCGCGTCCCACATACAGCAACTAGAAGGATGTGCAGCTATGACACACAACTATCTACTGGGGCTTTGGGGGGAAAAAATAAATAAATAAAATCTTTAAAATGCTGCAGCTTTTCTAGTTTAGCATGTTACAGATTCATGGGATGCATTTCCTTGGTATAAAAGAGACTTTCTGTTGTATCAGCGCCTGACTGCCTGGCACCTAGTAGGTGCGCAATAAATATTGAAAGAATGGATTTTCTCTCTTAAATGATTGTATCCAGTGTATCTCCTCCTCTGTTGCATCAATGCCACTGCCTTATTTCAGGTTCTCATCATCTGTTCTCCCTGCTACCAGAGGCAGTGATCTACAACACAAACCTGGTCACCTCATTCCTGTGCCTCTCGCTCTTTGATGATTTCTCATTATTTTATGCTAATAATTACTTTGCCCTGATAATCCTTTCCGCTTTATATTTTGTGGTCTATCTAGCAAGGCTGAACCACTAAAAATTTCTCCATACTTTTATCCTGATAATTTCTATGTAATTTAGCTCAGTTTTCATTTCCTAGGAAACCTTTCCAGACTGTACCCTGCTTCCCCCACCTCCAACTCATACCTGTTTACACATGTATAATCTAGGTCTGGCCAGGTGTTTCTAGGACACTCTGAATATGTCTGCCATAGAATTTATCACTTTGTAATATTTTATTAAAAGTATTTCCTATTGTAAGTTCCTAGAAGGCAAGAGCCATGTTTCGTTTGTAATTAGCTACTCAAAATTGAGCCCATAGTAATTACTTTGAATGTTAAGACTGGGAATTGAGAACACTTCAAAGCAGGAATTGATAAATTTATCTATGCTATATCAATAATGGATAGTTGAGGAAATCTGGACTATTTGAGTGGTACATTTTTGGCTTTTTGAAGTTGACAGTAGACTTGGCCCCTTAGTACAAGTTCTTTGGTCCTTTTTAAGAGATTCATCTGGGGCCCGGCCCTGTGGCGTAGCGGTTAAGTGCACGCGCTCCCCTGCTGGCGGCCCGGGTTCAGATCCTGGGCGCGCATCGACGCACGGCTTGTCAGGCCATGCTGTGGCGGCGTCCCATATAAAGTCGAGGAAGATGGGCATGGATGTTAGCCCAGGGCCAGTGTTCCTCAGCAAAAAGAGAAAGATTGGCATGGATGTTAGCTCAGGGCTGATCTTCCTCATACACACACACTAAATAAATAAATAAATAAAACTTAAAAAAAAAAAAAAAGATTCATTTGACCTCTGTAGCAGTTTTATATTCTTAACATAACTTGCCATCTGTTCATGAAAATTTACTGGTAACTCCTGAAATATTAGGGAAGCTGAATAATAAGGTAAAGAAGTGATTATTCATATATGTATTTATTTGAAATTAAAATACCCTTTTTGGGGCCGGCCCCGTGGCTTGGTGGTTAAGTGAGCGCGCTCCGCTGCTGGCGACCCGGGTTCGGATCCCGGGCTCGCACCGACGCACCGCTTCTCCGGCCATGCTGAGGCCGCGTCCCACATACAGCAACTAGAAGGATGTGCAGCTATGACACACAACTATCTACTGGGGCTTTGGGGGGAAAAAATAAATAAATAAAATCTTTAAAATACCCTTTTTTATGGAATTTTATAGACCAGTAATACTCGTGGAGAAACAGGCACATTCAGTGTTGATGTGGGTACAAATTAATTCCATCTTTTTGGAGGACAGTTTGACATCAAAATGTATAATGTTCATAGTTTGAATTAGCACTTCCATTTCTGGGAGTTTATCCTAAAGAAATACTCAGACAAGTGCACAAAGATGTAGATTTTGTTATTCTTACAGCATTGTTTGTAATGATAAAAAATTAGGAACAACCTACATGTCCATCAGTAAGAAATTATGGTACATTCATGTGTTAGTATTCTATTGCTGCCATAACAAAATACTACAAATTTAGCAGCTTAAAACAACACTAATTTATTCTCTTATAGTTCTGTAGGTCAGAAGTCCAATACATGTCCCATCAGGCTAAATTCAGGGTGTCAGCAGGTCTATATTCCTTTCTGGAGGCTCTAAGGGAGGATCCATTTTCTTACTCATTTGGGTTTGGCAGAATTTAGTTCCTTGCCAGTTGTAGGATAAAGATCCCTGTTTCCTTGCTGGTTGTCAGCTGATGATATTCCCAGCTTCTAGGGGCCAACCACATTATTTGGCTCCTTTCCTCCTTCAATCTTATCTCTCTGAGGTTTTCTGTTTTTAAGCACTTGTGTGATTAGACTGGGTCCACCGGATAATCCAGGATAATTCCCCCATCTCAAGATCCATACCCTTAATCACATTAGCAAAATTCCTCTTGCCAGGTAGGGTAACATATTCACAGATTCTGGGTTTTAAGCCATGAACATCTTGGGGGCGGTGGGGAGGGATCATTATTCTGCCTACTACAGTCCATATAATGGAATGCTCTGCAGAGTGAGTTCAGTTTACATATACTTAAGTGGAAAGCTGTCTAATGTATATTAAGTTTAAAAAACAACTATATTCTATGTATAGTAGCACCTTATTTCTGTAAAAAAAATTTGGTTGTAAAAATTTTTTTTACGTGCATGGGAGAAAAAATTGGATGACTATACACCAAATTACTATTATTTCTGAGGATACAAATTCAGAGAACTTTTTTTTTTAAATTTTTTGTTTATTGCAGTAACATTGGTTTATGACATTGTAAA